GGGTGGGTGTGGGGAGTGTGGGTGGGTGTCCGCTGCTCTGCTTTATTGAGGAATGAGCGGTGGTCCAAAATTCAGGTGAACCAAAACAGAAAAATCCATGAGCGCTCTCTCAGCTTATGTGTTTTCCCCGAGCCCTTTCTGCTGCACTGCCTCGAAAACTCGGGAGGTATAGAGACACAGAGTTTGCGAAAAAGAAGAGCAGAAAGTGAGGAGAGGGGTGCAGGCATATGAGAGGAGAGAATTTCTCAGTTTGCTGGAGCAGCGAGAAAACTGTATCCTCTGGAAAACAAATGCAAGCAAGCAGAGCAGAGGAGGTGCAGATGGGAATGGGGAGGAAGAGTGGAAAGGATAAGGAGACTTTTGCTGAGTGGAAATAGGTGAAGAATCCCTTCAGCCCGTCTAAGAATAGAAAATATAGCACGCCATTTCTGCCAGGGTTAGTGACTGACTCACTTCTTATTGTTTAAATGTGCACGCGCGAGGCGAAGCCAGCAGCAGCCTTGCATAACAAGCACACATTGTTTTTCTGATTCAGTGCTATTGAAAAAAAGAAAACACTGCGTTAGGCTTATGTGTTGGGCCAAATAGCTTAACTGATGATAAATAAACATGGCTGTCAGTGTTGATGATGATGAGCTGCTCGGGGATGTTGTAGCTTGTTGACTTGGTTTTCATTTATTTACATAGTATTACATAGGAAGCGGTTGCAGCAAGTGTATCACCAACATATCATCAGTTTTTGCCCAGTCGAATACGTATACGTGTGTGAAAACGATATATTACATTTCATGGCCTGCACCTGTTCTAGTGCAGGAACTCAGAAATGAATAAAGAGTCTTCTGGACCAAAGTGAAACAGGATCTAGAGCCTTTAGTGGACGGTCGTCGCTCATAGGTTACCGCTTCTGGTTTACTAACAGTTTCCCTTCAGTACTCTGGGGGATTTCAAACTTAAACATGTCGTCGATGAATGTTTTTAAACATTGGATGTGGTAATTGATAGCAGACGTATCTTTATGAATTAAAACAAAAAGCAGGCATTGATATAAAAGAACAAAATAAAGAAAACCACATAATAAGTTTATTGTAGTGCGCAGATTCTTTTTTGATTTTTTTTTTTTTTTACACATTATTTTTACCCCCCAGGGGTCCCTACAAGAATATCTGAGGATGTACGCTATGTGTTTGACAGTCTGTTAATTGGTAGTGTGAAAAAAGAACAATGTGTCCACATATGGGTCCAAATGGAACGGTTCCATCCAGAATACAGCAGGTTAGTGTGAATGTGCCAGCTATGAAAATAGGACCATAAAGGAAATAGAGGCAGAATAACAGAAGCTGTCTGTTAGTTGCAACAGGGACAGGCTACCCTGTGTGCCATGTGAACATTTTAACAGCAACCAAGGACTCATTGAACCACTCAAAGCTACTGCTCGAGGAAGTCAATAAAAAAAATGTCATTTGTCAACAGGCCTCTTCGTCAGCTTGACCATAAAGTCACGAGAACTATTACTGCTAAAAAATAAAAAAATAAAAAATCGTGCCTGCCTTTGTTGCATGTGGCTACAAATGTAAACACCCTTCGTCACCGCCCAAAAAGTGCGAACTTTTAGGCGGCTTCTTCGTTTCAGTCTTCACTGAAAAATGTGTAAAACATTGATGGTGCAGAGACGGAAGACGTATTCCCTACTGGGCAGATTTTGACAGGATCTCTGTCACAGCTTCCAGTGGGACGTCAAGATGACGGCAGCAGAATCTCAGTGGGCCATCTCTCCTCTGGAAGGGATTTACCGTCACACATCCATCCGCAGTCTTAATCAAACACTCGCATAAATACAGTATATCCTGAGAAAAGCACATGTGAACACTAAGTAAAGAGGATCTCCCTCTCTCCATCTCCCATCGGACACCCCTCTCCCTCTGCTCCAACAATTACAACAGAGACTGGCACAGCAGGCGGTTGACAGGGATGAGATGTGTGAGGAAATGTGTATTCCTGTGTGTGTCAGCAATGATGCACTTCTAGTACTAACAAAGCCCCATGTAACCTTACATTTCATTCTGCAGTGAGCGACGCACATTCAAATTATCAGTCCACTATTTTTCAAAAACAATTAGAGTTTATATTGTCGAAACCTGCAGCAATTAAAATCACCAGCTAATAAGGCAGCTTAAAAATATGTCACCAGTCCAGTGAGGTCAGGAAACGTTTTTTAGAAAATAATCACTTTCCAACAAACAAACTGAGCTCTCATAAAAACAACAACTAGAGGGCAGAGCCAAGCGGACTCAGCTGGCTTTCTGTCAAAACGGTATGGATGAGTTAAGTGCCCGTGCTTAAACAGAAAACGCTGACTACTTTCAGTAAAAGTTCCCTTCAATGACTCGGAAAGGACCATGTGGGGAAAAAACACTCTTAATTGCTTTGTAACAAATATATTTACAACTTTTAGTGGTGTATAACAGGTAGTGTGGGTTTGTGTGTAAGGGCTAGATGGCGCTTCCCAAAACAACAAATGTCTCAGTAAGTGAGAAAAACAGAAAGTGAGAAAGAAAAAGGAAGGAAATCAGCCAGCTACAGACACCAGGAGGCAAAGGGTTAAACAAGACCCCATCGTATTTTCATGCATCTTCTGCTTTTGACAGATGAAAAATGTCAACTGTCCTGTTTGTATTTGGGAGTTTTTGCACTATTCATCTGCTTCATTAGTGCCTGCTGCTCCTAGCCCCTGACAGCTGCCGGCCCCCTGCTCTCAGCGCGCACACACACACACACACATACATACACACATACATACACACACGCACACACTTACTCCTTTTTTCAGACTGTGTCGTCGCAATGGGTTAGATGATTGACTCACTCTCTGACCTCTGAGGCCCTGGTGAGCATGAGACTGTGTGTGTATGAGTGTGTGTGTACGGTTCATTGATATTCGAGAGACATACAATGCACACGCATGCCTGCTGTCTGTCTAAGGGGTGTGAGCTGCTGGTGGCAGAACACACACACACACACACATACACATATACACACACACACACACAGACCCCCTCCCTCCTTTGTTCCTCGGCTCTTCATCAGCTGGCCAGGTTGAGCTCTCCCCAGCCCGGGCATGTAAAGCCAGCATCCCTGTCCGTGTAAAAGGTCTGGATGTGGCCTTCCAGTGTAATTAACACTGATCCCTCTCTCTCTAGCTTCTCTCCCTGTACGCCAATTAAGAGGAGG